CGAAACAAAAGATTCCTCGAAACCCAACTTTTCTTCGTATATAAGCCAGTCAGTTGTCTTGACTCTTTAGCTTGAAAAGAGTTGTAACGATGATGTCCGTTCTCTAAAGGAGCAAGACTTACCTCGTTTTAACTAGATTAGAAGGAGATTATATGAGATGTTTTACTCTATTTCGTTTAAGGTGATTGAGGATTGGTAGTTGGCGCTTTCATCGAATTTCGCATAGCCTTGCTTTCCAAAAAGGTCTTCTCATCTCGGCCGGGGTAGACTGCAGCTTCAAGCTCACCTTCAGCGGGAGTCGAACCATGAAAGCGCAACCTGTCATCGCGACACGTTAACCATTATGCCACATCATCTCGGCTGCATTTGGGTGACAAGGTAGATGAGAATTTCAAGAAAGGCTAGACATTTTTCCATATCACATGAAACAAAGTTATATTTGCCATAATGATCGACTACATTACTCATTTTTCGTTTATAAGTAGGGTTTCGAGACTGCCGGAAAATCATTTATACGAGGCGGGTCTCGAAACCCTACTTAAACGGAAAGTCAAAGAAGATTGCCTCGGAAACAGCCTCAACAAAAATGTAGCAGCAAAGCTATTCAACAGTTGGCAAAGAGGAGAACTTCTCAGGGTCATCTTCTGATGCGATTCAGTTTAGCATTTTTTCACCAAACATCTTTACTCGAAATAAAAGTTATTTGAATAAATGCGATTATACAATTGGCCCTAGCCTTTGGAACATTCTTTTTTTTCTGTTGGACACTTACTGTTCTCGCCTTGTCTACGCCGTCTCCGGCGCCGTTTTCTTGATTCAGCCCATTCTGGTCGTCTTCAGGACCGCAGAACAGCGTGGAAATGGAACCATGCAGGCCAGTCGGCTCACCGGATACCGCGCCCGATGTGTAGCCGTCGCCGAAGGATCCGTGAGTCTGGCCGAGTTGGTTGGTCATCGGCAAAGCCTCTTGCCATTGTGACCGTTGGTTGACGTCCGTCTTCTCCATACCCGACTGTATCGCCTGAAGACGGTTCACACTCGCCGGCATCGTCGGCATGTTGACCGGATGTGGTCGCGTCGGTTGCTGGGCGAAATGATGCAATTGCGTCGGCCAGACGGCCGAGGAGCCGGTGTCGTCGGCCTCCAGACGACCGGCCGGAAGACCGATCAACGGATTGGAGGAGCGCAGAAATCCCATCGGCCCAACGTTGGGCGTCAACAGGCAAGAGGAGGCGGCAGCGCCTCGGCAACTATCGATCAGCTGATCGGACAACGGCAGCAGATGCAGCGAAGAGGCGCCAGTTGCGAAGGCTCGTGTTGCACCGACCGACTGAACAATGCCAGCCGATTGACCGGCATTTGGCAGATTGTTGTTGCAGGAGAAGAGAAATGGCGACGTTGTTGTGACCACACCCTCCGGCCCGCCAACCGGTGGCATGGCAACTGTACCGCCGAAAGGTTGACTCTGTAAGTGTGTTTGCATGTGTGTCTGCGATTGCATTGGCATCATTATCGGTGTTGGTGTGGCTGTCGGTGTCGGTGTCGGCGTCGGAGTGGAACTGGTCGTCGGCGTCAACGTTTGTCCGGTCGATTCCGTCTCGCCGGTCGAGTTGGCGAGACAACGAAATTCGCCTGTCTGCAAAGGCATCGCCTGACCGGCCGGAAATGAAGTCCAATAGGGCCGGTCGTTCGGTGGCCATGGCGACGAGGCTGACGACAACGACAGTGGCGGTGGCGGCGGTGCAGCCAGAGACGGCGGCATGCATGGCAACAGAAGTGGATGGAAAACTGGACATGCGTAGGCTCTGGTGGGCGGCGTCGAGGCGACGGGATAGCCGCGCGGTTGGCTCGAGTAGAGCAGGCTGGCGGCAGGAGGGGGGAGACCGGCCGACCGAGAGGCCCCCCCAACACGATGACCCGTGGCCGAGGGACCCACTTGGAGGTCGGAGGTCAAAGGGGCCGTCGCGGAGGCGTCCGGACTCGAGGAACAAGGAGACGACGACGACGACGGTGACGACGGCGACGAGGCGGAGGAAGAGGAAGAGGAAGAGGAAGAGGAGGAGGAGGAGGAGGAGGAGGAGGAAGAAGAGGAGGCAGAGGCAGAGGCGGAGGTGGAGGAGAGGGAGGCTGAAGAGGGCTCGAGGAGGAGCGGTGCCGTGGGGCCGGGCACGAGGAGGCCCCCGGTGGCCGAGTTCAGGCCGTGCCGATTGGCTGACGCACCGGCCAATAGAGAAAGACATGTCGTGGGACTGTTGCCAACGCCGCTGTTGCCAGGCAAGAAAGGCTGTTGCTGGGCGGTCTGACATGGTATATGGTAGAGCTGAGAGTAGGCTTGCTGCATGGGCGGTGTCTGGCGGTAGGGAGGGAGGGGCGGATAGTGGGTGTAGGGGGGCGGTTGGAGGTGGAGCTGAAAGGGCGGTTGCCGGGCCGTCTGAAGTGGGTGCATGTGATGGGCTTGTTGAAAGCCTGTTGTCTGTGACGCCAGTGGCGGTGGTTGCGGTGGTGGCGGTGGCGGTGGCGGT